ATGACCTCATCAGTAATATGGGCCTTATAAGCTCGCCTATTATGACATGATCTATGTCTTTCCCTAGGGAACTTCTGTGGTTCTATGACGTTGCTATATAGGTTTAGTTCATCTCTTCGGCCAGAACAGCTGTCACATCATATACCACGTATCTTTCAGCATCAGAAGTAAGGGTAGTGAGTCATATAGAGAGTGTTTTTCGTGTCTTACATCTTACTCGCTAATGTAGAGAACGGTATACAACTTCCTATATAGTTTGAAAGGTTCGGCGACACTGTGACCCTTATATAGAGGATGTCTCTTATAGCGAGTCTCTTAGAGAGGGGTGAGTGTATGTATATTCTGTAAAAAAATTGTATTTTAGGCATTCATATTTGCTTGAATAATTCCCCGTACAATTCCAAAGTATGCTTTGATAAATGAGGGCATAATCTACACCAAGGTAATCTCATCGATCTTGTTTTACCACCCAGCATGTCGCTTTAACTTTGCTAGCTTATGTGTGAGTTTTCTACATCTACAATATGATCACAAGTAGATTTACTTAACAAATACGAATCGAATGACTAGGGTTGTTATACAAGCCCCATCGCACTCCTGAAAAGCTACACGCTGTCTCATAGGGCTAAATTTTAGATGGTACCACACCTTAATACACTATACAACATACCACTCTCCATGTGTTGCCTTGTCGTGGATATCTAATGTATAACTTTCAATAATTTACGAGGTTAATGGCGTCATCGTTGTAAGCCACGAGTATGCGGATTGAACACGAGTTGAGTCCATGCTGACGAGTATAGGTCGCCCTTGAACTAATGACTGTCTTTCCTAATAGTGACCTAGTCATTTATTAAGCTCGAAGTTCGTCGCAACTAGACTTCAACGAGGCAGAAAATATTTAATCACCAGAGAGCCGCGGTTGAGAACTGTAAGAAATACTAATATCTGATGTGCGCTGTTATTGCCCGTACACAATTAATGTTCAGGGTGAAACGATACACGAATAGAGGTTAGTACAAGTATATATCGTTGTAAACGAAGGGAAAGTTGAGGGGCGTAACAACCATCCCAATAAATTACGGGGTATATTTAAATGAATCGTAGTTTTGAGCACGACATCATGTTTTTGGCTTAGTCAAGAAAAAAAGAAATGAGGTTAAAGTAAGCACTGCACCAAGGACAAATCGATGATTTTAAAAAATCTATGTGAGATAAAATACTTTTTCATTTATAAGACTGATTGTATATTTGACATAATAATATACACCTATCTCATTAATATATAGTCTAGCCAGCACGGTCGGCGTCAAATCTAAAGATCAGGAGATAAGATATTCTCTTGATCCGAATCCAATTTGTTGCATTGTCACATAAATACTTGTATATACTCTTTTGTGAGCAGAATTGTAAGTCAGCCATCTCGAAGCGCCTTCTATACGTCTCTGATAATACATATTTGTCTGAATTGAATAGTAAATTAAAGGTGTATTACAGCGGCATTATAATTCATATAAAGTCAATTGTTCCATTAGTACTGTTATGTTTAATAAATGATAAGGGATATTGACAATAGGTAGTCCACGCGTCAACGGTAAATATCTAGGGCTTTTGGCATTTTTAGCATACATCTCTATCGTCTCAGATCAAAGACACTACAAATATCAAAAATAATATAAAAATGATAAATCGCGATCACTTGCAATACCAATGTTCTTCTGTAAAACGCCAATGGACGAAATCGCGGTAGACATAATTTTCAATGATAAATAGAATTTGTGAATTAAATGGGTGATATTTGAAACCAGACCTGTGTTTTTCGGTAGAGACTTCTAGTGCCTTCTACATTACGATCTATGCACGCACGTGGCACGTGCAACAACTGATTCGCTCTTCCTTGTTTCCGGCTTTTATAGACCTAGTCACCACCTGTGAATTGGATCGCGCTATCTGATTGGCATCACGCTGTTTACTCAACTTCTTCGTCGACATTCGCCATATGGCTGCTCTGTCACGATTAATTCAAAACTTAGTATTTGGTATGCGTAGGACAGTTATTGTGTGACGAACTTTCAATGTTCATTACTTGTTTGTCAAATTTGAGTTCTCATCAAACGTAATGACAGCGACAAGTAACAATGCGTGTGCATTGTACCCCTATATCGTGCTATACAAACACTGGCGGGTTAATCGATGATGTTGGAATATGTATACATGCATGCATGTTAGTGACAAATCATGCACTCAACAATCACCGATAACATAATACACAACGTTATAATTCATACAAACTGCAGTACTGATGTATACTAATCGACCAAATTTATACATGCCTGAAATCATGCATACGCATGCAAGTATATGTAATATGCCTCTCTTCTTGCTTACATATAAAACATAGATGCCCTATAACGACAAAAGGGCAGGTGCGCCGATTCTTCCGCAGATCTTTACACTGTTGTGTACCGTTTTGAAGTCAGACCGGCCGTCTTGCTTTCAGTTCTTTTCGTCAGCTTTTATGGATCTCAATACAACAATGTGCAGCTGTCGTTTCGGCCAAATGGTCTAAAATGGGTCAAACGAGACACCGCCGTGTTTAAGTGGCGCGTACACAATGCTCTGTAAGTTGTTCAAGGTACTATTAAGGCATGATTTGATAACGTATAGGCAAGCAACATTAATCGAGACAAGCTTAGGAATAGCTTACGAAATTACTCTGGTACAATTGCACGTGGTCACGCGAATACTTGCAGGCACATCAAAAACATTGGCACGTTGTCGTAACACACAAATACCGATGGACTATTGTGGTCGTCACATAAAATGGGCTGCTGATGGTAATGGTGATATCGGCGTTGATATGGATATGGGAGTATGGATGGTGCGTATATAGACGCAATATTGTTTTCTGCGGTTGTTTGCATAGTGTACGTTAGCGAAGCATTTCGGTATTGTTATTTCACATCGAACATGTGATACAAAACACCACACTGATGCATCATTATGCGAAACATCGTTAACAAAGCCGCTCTACCTGCGAGACATTTAATATGATGCTCGCATCATTGAGCTGATGTGTCATGTGACAACGTTACCGGCGTGTCAGCAACCTCACGATGTAAATCTATGTAGTTATGGAAACAAAGAATGAGGCGGTACCCCAACTCCGAAGGAAGTTTTTTGTTATAATTTGCTACATTACATGTATGATCGAAAATGTCAATTTCGTCCCCGACCTGACGTTTAGTAATTACTTATGTGGTGCAATATAAATTTACATTGACCCACAAAATGGTCGGAGTACCAGTTATACTCAAATTACAGTCAGGAACGACCGACGGTGTCATATCGACGCTTCAGTTTATTAGCTACTCCTATTCTTGCGCGCGAGTAGATAGTAGCCTCCCATGTTATTTTGGTTTAGCCTTGGCTCAAGCCATCCTTAGTTCGCCACGATGTTTGCAAAAGAATAAGTCTGTTACAGCATGTTCTATACGGTCACTCGGTAAAGCGCATTGCGCATTGAGAAGCAAGTGTTTACCGAGAGCTGTTATTTCTCGTTTCAGAAGTTGAGCTTCCCGACTTTGTCCTTTGCTCTGGTGCCACGAAGGGCAAATACAGGATACGACTATAAACTTGTCAAACATTAGCAATGATGAAGCTTACTGTTCGTACTACTTTGTTTGCAATGACACGTCAAACATTCCGCTTACAAGATGATCCATCACCACCGGTAGCATACATTTGTATGCATTGGAGAGTCAGATTTCTCCTAACATTGACTTATGAGTCATTGTACGAGCGCCCAGACGTCATAGCGACACCGCAACGCCAGTCATCGATCGAAATGAGTTACATCAGAACATCGGCAATTTGCATCAGTTGAATATCGACCAGTTCATACGCGAGCCTAAACAAGCACTGGGATCCGCCAGCCGAAGCTCGTCATGCGGTGACTTTGGGCCAAAGTGACGAATCTGTGCGATTGCCCACCCTTTTTAAGTCTGATTAGCAACGCCATTCCTCTTGCAAGTACAGTGATCAGCCAGGACTTGTCATTTTGGGTGCGGTGTTGCATAGTTGTCGAGCTACTTTGTAATGCCATACAAGCAGACGTACTTGTGGCACGTCAATCACTTCAGTTGCACCCTCAAGCTAGTCTTACGAAGAACGGCTTAGTGTATAGCATTGTCACTCTCGCGCATGTGGCATACTATCAGCATGAAGAGGAGATTGGAAGTAAACAGCATCAGCTATTTTTCCTATCTGCGTGCTCCGTGTGCGAGGAAGTCGTACATGCTTCTCGACTCTCAGCGTTCCTCTGTCCAGCAGTACATGAGATTCGGCCAGCAGACCTCTGCGCAAGAGCATGTCCGCAATATGTGTTCCTTGATCTCTTCTAATTAGCGCCAGTACTGTAGCGTTTAATACCTGGTAACGCTTGCACGTTCAACAGCATCGTACCCATGACAAGCGATCAGGATATGGTGCGATTTACCTTATTGTTTATCTCGGCGACCGCAAGTCATCGTGTGTACAGAGACCAAAACTAGGTCGGACATCCACATGCTTACGTCTGGACATGCGAGTCGGAACGTGGATGCAAAATAAACGCGAATCGTCAGTCGTGTCGATGTACTGCCGCACCCTGATCGTGGCCACAAGACAAAAAACATTGTTGTACTTCTTGTAGCCGTGACACGATCGTTGTAATTGCATCCAGCGCAGCGCATAAGCTTTCCGATTCAGCTGATGTGTTGCAGTTGCGCGTCTGCTATTGACCTTGGTCTAATATATACGCATTGGCCACCAAAGCAAGTAGCTCTAGTGTGATAACTAGACACAGGCCGAGGGTAGTTCGGCCATGACGATCGTATATCTACATGATCATCCCTGCGGCGCATTCCCTAGAAAGTTGACTGGTCTCACTGCATTAGCAACCAGATCCAAGTTCCACAAGCGTTCATGATCGTCGCTTTTCAGTAGACCTGCTCTGCGACTCACGAATCCTTCACCAACTCGAGCACAGCTCTAAGCTCCTCGCCCGTAAACTCAGGCGGCATGGAAATACCTCTGTAGCCAGCTATCACCTGCGAGTGCATGCGTATATACAGCGGTAACTGCCGTCCGCCCTGTGGCGAAGAGAAGTCGCATGGGTCCATGTCTCCATGCCTGACTGGATGCGTGTACTGCTGATCTGACGTAGACATGATTGCCGTCGACGTCCTTGATGCTGGCTGGTACGATCGCGCACGCACGTTAGTTCCACCACCTCGAAGATATGCCGAGCACGGTGCCTGGATCGAAGTGTAGCAGCTCACTGGGGCGTAGTTCCAGTCAATCGACGTTGTTATCTCGATTTGCCTGCTTGATGCCACAGAGCTGCAATATCGATACGATTCCATCGGCGCAGCGTAAATAGTTGGCCGTAGCAAAGTGCTGCGAGGCGCGCCGTCGGTCTCCGATGGAAAGGAATGGGTGGGAAAAGGCAGACACAGTGCCGCTTGAGGCGACGCCAGATCATCCATGAACGACTTGTGCGGTAATACGAACGCGTCTTTCATTCGGCGACAGTCGCTGCCTTCAACTTGATGTAGCATACTCTCATGCATCATACGTTGCGCTGCCAATCTATTAGTAGCGGCCACATTTAAGATCTCGTGAGCACCATCATGCCGGCTAGAGTCCTCCTTTTCAGCTGAAAGCGACATTTGTAGCGGAACTTCGATATGATGGGGCTCAGAGCGTGAGTGCATCACATCCATGGGCGCGGCAGAAGCGGCACACGCCAATGTTTCCTTCTCGGAGTTGACAGTGTCCGATCGATTACTGTCGTCAATCGTCATTGACTCGTTCGAAGCGTCGGTACACTTTTCGTGACCAGTTGCGTGCAGATTTTGATGCTGGACGTACTCTTTGTAATTGGCACAGGTCCACGCACATGCAGGCTCTGCACACCGAAAGAGGTTTTGTTCGTCCGGATAATGGACGCGCATATGCCGCTTGAGTTTCGTACTCGTGTTGAAGCGCTTGTTACACGTCTCAACGCTGCAGGGATACGGACGTTCGCCGCTGTGGATGCGCTTGTGGCGGCTGAGGTTCCCAGATGTATTAAACCGCTGCGTGCAGCCGTAATAGTCGCAAACATAGGGCCTCGTCCCTGTGTGGATGCGCATATGACGCCGCAGTGCGAATGAGCGTGGAAAGCGCTTGCCACAGTGCACTTCGGGACACACAAACCGGCTGCATTCAGGATGTCGCGTAGGTCTTGTCGCACATGACACGGAATCAGTCGGCAGCTCCGCACAACCATCTACCGTTGAAATAGACGGCTCGGGTCTCGCGTTGATTGCCTTACCCGGCCAGGGCCATAACGGTGCTACCGAGGCAGGAAGACGCGACATTGCTGCGAACGTCGATGTTCGATGACTATCTGCCGGGAAAACGGGTTCTCTTGGCGTGTTTACGACATGAACAGGTTCGCGTGGGGTGGGTAAAGCTGTTGTCGTTTGCAATTGCATGTGAAGGAACCGTCAAACGGCTTTTCAGCTTTTACGTTGGACACGAAATTGGTGGCGGGTGAGCCTGGTAGACGGCAAATCGAAGAGTGATAAGCGACTTAATTCGGCAGTGACCCGCCTGCCGCATGGACTGCGAATCGACGCACAATGGCGACCCGCGCATGCGAAAGCACAGGTTATTGGACGAAAGAGGTATCGCTGGATGCAGAGATGTCGTCGAGAAAATAGAATGTATGCCAATGGAGAGAGATTTGTGGATGTTGCACGAAGAAAATGACTTTTTACGATGTCTGCGTCTGGCTTTTTACGAGCTCGCCCTTCATACGTAAACAGCGCACATCGATCATGGTGATGTATAAAGCTAACTCTGAGTGCGCACACGAGACAATTTCAATCGAGTGAGAGCTCAGTAATTGGCCTGGTCGGTGATCCCACAAAGAATGTCTCGAGCGGCCACATGCCATGCGGCAATTTGGTGACGTTTGCAACGAGGTGACTTGATACGAGCAATATAATGAAAAAAGTTGTGACGGTCTTTCAACCTGTAAATATGTTCGATTCATCATACACTCCATGAGCCGGGTAACGAGCGACGAGTCTGGTAGCTTATCGTACCTGACCTCAATACAAGCCGAATGCCATCGCAGTGACAAAAAATAGGTTGATATTACCGCGCGCATGAAGTTCCTAAGGCGTTGTGTCGGGACCTCTTTACCCGCGTTTTGCCAACGCTGCGAGTAGTCGGATCTCGAGGTCCCCAGAACGTGGATCGCTATGTAGTGCCGCGTTCTGCACCTCGTCCAACATTGCGTCGTTCCGCTCACTCTAAAGCTCACGATGCAAATGCTACCCTTGATGCAAATCCAATTACTGAACCTTTATCCTGGTACGACGTCGTCTTGGAAACATTGATGCTGTTTTGTTTCTGTCGTGGTAATTTCAGAGATGCTCGGTAGTTTACACACTCGACAAAGCGAAAAACACTAAGCGTATGCGCCTTCTCTTCATCTGTCGCGTGACAAATGGGCTTGGTACAATACGCGCGTGCTGTCACGTAGCTTGATAAGTTAAGAGCCGGGGTTTCTTTGGTTACACGACTCGCCGATAAGGCACGACCTCTGTTGTCATTAGAACGCTGTGAATCGCAAAGAATGAGTAGATTGTTGCACTTCAGTACCCGTAGACCTAATTGTCGCGCTGGACCAGTTGCATCATTGTAAGATTAAGACGGGTCTGATATGCTGCTGCCCGCTACCGTGAATCCATGCTGGTGAGTTTACCCAACCACTGTATCAGTGATTCAATCTGGGCTTGCACGAGCCAACTGGCAGCACCGCTTCCTGTTGTATTGCTACATAGTGCAGCACAAGCGCTGTGCGGATCTTCGTGCACACTTGCTCATTCTCCGCAGGCCTGATTGGCAATGTAGGCTATTTGTAGTGGTCAGTCACTAGTCGCCTCTCTCCACTCCACTTCTTTCCAAGCTCACCATATTAAGATCGAAAGGAGACCATGAAGCGGGAACTCTCAGTAGAAGCCACTAAATGCAGTATACTATCAGATCGATTCAACGAAAGTTGCAAAATATTTGATCTCAGAATATAGTCGCCTACTGATGCTCTACAGCGTCAGAGATGCAGCGCACAATGTGGCACCTGTGGCAGAGTGACCGATGGCACAGCACTTTCTGCTGTTCATGGCATCGACTGAAATGATATCGCCACCTACGACGAATACTTATTCGATGATGAGGTCCTTAATGAAATGTCGTGTCTTCGTTGGAGGAGCAAAACTTAACGCACCGACAGAGAGCTATGGGGCGGGATCCGCCTGGTCTCGTATAGTGCAAAATCCAGAGCGGAAGACGAACTAATTCGAGCGACAAGTAAAGGAAGACTAGATGAATTCATGTTCATGACAAGATGAACAAGCATTATGCTCTACAAAATCAAGTAGTCTGGTGCTGGGTGATGTTGTGCAGACACAGCGAGGTCATCTTACATGAACCGCTTAGCACTATCGTGCCCTTAATCACCTATACGCGCCACGCAGTTATCTTTGCTGATGGATTTTATCGCCCAGCTTCATAAAGTAGTGAGACTAGATATGACAGCTTGGAGAGCGAAGAGGAGAGCTGCAAGCGACATCGTTTAATCTGCCTGGAAATACAGGCATTCGCGAGTGCCCACCACGTAAACTGCACGTAACAAAATCCAAATTTGTGCACACAACAACAGATTGATTGTCCTCCTCCAATCGTCCAACAGCCAAGTGCTAGAGAGTAAGTAAGCAAGAAGACCGCGCGAAATGTAAGCCAACCACAAGATAGGCTCAGACGACGCATGTAGACAGACGGCGTGAGTAGATAGATGGTGGCGCGTTTGAAAAATACCCTCGCACGGACGGTGGTCTACGAGGTGGCGATTTTGTCTACGAGGCGGCGATTTTATCAACGAGGGAACACGCGGCGCTATTCTGACTGGCTGTACGCGTCAGATTTGACAACACGTCAACAGCATTCGAAGAAATACGGGTCTCACTTTGGTGTTTGGTCGCTGTTATTAAACAACTCTTAGACAGCTTTCGAAAAGCACGGGCCTCACCTCGGCTTCTGGTCACTACTGAACGACTAGAACTCGTTTGTGTTAGCGTGTTGCTGTCGTGCCACTCACACCTCAAATTATCTCCAGACTATGTATAAGAAGCTGCTTCTCGGCGCGTCGATTGTGATGTCTCGACGTGGTGGTCTGCTGAGCGAAATTCTCAATTCCTATCTGCTGATACACATACTTGTAATAGCGCAGAGCTCCGCTGTGGTGTCTGAGGTTTCACCCATCGATCGTCTACTACAACTCGACTATGAACGCTTCAGTGACCTGTTTGGACACTTGTACCGCGATCGTCAAAAAAGAAATATACCAGTAGGACAAGCGAACGAAAATGAGATTCTCTCTATGAATCGATTGGTCAGAAATGAGCATGGGGGAAGCACGCAAAAGGGCTTTTTGCCTTCGCATGGAAGCGGAAGGAAGCAAGAGCTGTCTCATCAATGCTCGCACCACTCGAAGACCTGATTTGTATCGTGCCAGAGCTCCCTGCCTTGTGCTCGTACCATTCCCAAATTTTTCGCGATTCAGCTCAAGACAGGTTTTTTTCCTTCGGGGGCAGCCACTTCGGAGGCGATCCTCCATTAGGGGAGCCGAAGGGGTCTGAGTTCTGCCTCGAGCAAATTGCACTCGCAGTCTCGGGTGTGGGCGCAGTGGACCGACGGGTCGCGCAAGCGGCCTAGCAGGCGTATTATACGGACTTGAGGCGTCCCTGCGCCACGTGTCGCCGCTGCGGCGGTCGCACAGTTCAAGTCTGGGGTGTCGCGCGAGCGGCTGATGGGAGCCACCATCGCGGATGGAACAGCTACTAGGGGAGATAATACGACGGGTTGGCTTTCCCCACGCCTTGCAGTTTCTTCGGTAATCGCACTCCACGTCAAGCAAGGGGCTTCCCCCACTTTCGCTGTTGTTGCCTAGGCGATAGTATACGACCGACTGCTGGCTGTGTCAACAGCTTTAGGGGTCCTCGACCCTTGGCATATACCACGATTCGGCCGACGGCACGATTTGTCGGTCCGCGACCTAGAATGTCTCTTTTACTAGGGATCCCTTCCCAATTTGCGCCTTTGGGCAACAGGGCCAAGCGACGACGACCTCCAACGAGCCGGTATACCGGTCCTCTTGTCCTGGGCGGGAAGTCCTCCGCTGGGGGGCTCAGGTCATGAGGAGGAGGTTTTCTTCCCGCTGCGTGCGCCACGGGGAGGCAGCGTAGCGTGCACACCGAAAGGAGAGCAACAACCCAGAGACCCCGGGGTGTTGGGCACGGCGACAGCGGTTGTCACCCCCCACCTAGTTCCCGCTATTCTACGTCAGCTTCCAAGTCGCCGGTCCGGTCGCCGAGTGCGAATCTCGATCCCACGAAGCGAACTTGCCTAGAATGTGATTCTGATCGGAACCGTCCAGGTGCACCAGCGGCCTATCGGGGGTGATCGATTTGGTACCCGGCGTTTTCTGCGATTTTCGCGCCCTGTCTGCCCCCAGGACTGGCTATCCGTTTCCACGTGCCCTCTGTTGAGTGTCCCTCGTGATGCCCGCAGTATCGAGCCAAGCAGACTGAGCCAGCGAGGAGGAGTATAATGTAGTCCAGGTAGAAGCACACCGATATCGTATAGTCATAAGCACTTAATCGACGTTCAGGTTCACTCACTCTTTTACAAGGGACTAGCCACTATTAGCCTCCGGGTCTCCCGGGGCTGATATCTGGCTTAGTAAAATGCAGAGGTCAAGGCGTACAGGTTACACCGTGCGAATAGACCATCCGACCACCACCGCCTTGTGCTCGTACTACGCTCAGTTTTTACGGATCAGGCGAGCTGAAGATTGTGAAGTGTAGAAGGAAGACGGGTACCGCTCTTCAAATCGACACCTTGGCGACCTGACAAGGTTACGCCCAGAGAGGACCGATGATGGCAAGGATCGGCTTAGAACAACAGCGCGCCTTCGGATCTTTCGGCCCAATTGAACCCTCTACGTCAGCGTCTGCACCCAGCTTTAAGGTTCATCGGGTCACTTTGGACTCTCTCGTTTGTATCAGCTGACGCGTTTGTCAGAAATGGTGAAAACGGCCATGTGTAGTCCTTTCCTGTCTAGAATCGTGCACGTTATAGAAAAGCTTGCACAACGCTCGCACGTGGGTCCTCCCTGGGCAAGAAACCATTTGCATGGGCCAATTACTTTCACTCATGCGGTAAGCTAGGCGCATACCATTTCGCACACAATAAGTGGCAAGACACCCCGCTATCTCTCTCGGAGTAGACGAAGGTTCAAAAGTTCAAGCTGGCCTGTCCATGCATCAACGATGCCAATCCAGAATCAGAAGAGTCCAGTATCGACGCTATCTGGCTGAGCAGATTGCGCCTTCAAGGCCAAATAGAGGCGCATAACCATGCACGC